GACTTCTAACAAAATGTCCAGTAGTGTGTAGTCTCTTGTCCAGAAATAAGAAAATCTCTATTTTTGTACAGGGAGGCAGGGTGTGGAATACAATGCTTGTTGCCTCCCTATTATTCACTGCACCGGCGTGCATCTTGGGCTGTAGCAGTAGTGGGGAGGCAAGAAAGTTGTGCTCTGTGGATGGAAATCCTTTTCTTCATGGACACTCTCCATTGGATGCAAACAATTGTTTGTTGATTGTAAGCTTAATATAAAAAGCTTGGCCGTGTGAAATAGCTATCACAGAACGTAGGCCTGGCTCACACATGCAGGAGAATGAGGTGGAAAAACGGATTGCATCTCTTGAGACCACCGACTGGGGTTCCAGTTTTGAATATGCCTTTGTATAAAAAGACTCTGTTCAAATAGTAACATACTAGAGCAAAGAAGTTCTACTGCTTGTTGCTTTCTGTGCTGGTTTTCTATTAGAAGAGGATTTTTTAACAGGAAGGCATTCCAAAATGTGGTACTCCTCTGGCAGTCTCCTGGTGTGCCCTGCTCTGAGCTTAGCAGTCAACCCCCTCATTCTCTTGTACGAGTGAACCAGTAGCTGTCATTGGAGGTGACAGTAGTAAACTTAATCATGTGATCCCAGTTCCTGATTCACAGATTATTAGGACTGACTGTAAAGCACTGATCCAGCAAGATCACTGAGGTTGATGTGTAGTGTATTTTTCAGATTACCGTTGCCTGAAATTAGGACGTACCGCTGAAGCCGACAAAGGCCACGTTGGTGTCTGTTAAAAACCTATACAAATGTCTGAGAAATATTTGTGAAGTACCTTTTGACCAGCTTCATGCATGCAAAGTGATTACCTTAATTAGACACATTTCTTGAAAATGTTTAGGTCCAGTACATACACTTAGCAGCCCTCTCCTCTACCGTGCACATGACGTCACACGAACATGAGATTGCCTTATGCTGGGTCAGTATTGTCTGCTATGACTGGCAGTGGCTTTCCAAGGACTCAGGCAGAGGTCTTTTGGAGTATCTCTATTACCTGAGCCTTTTAACTGGAGATGCCACGGACCGAACCTGAACCTGGGACCTTCTGTATGCAAAACAAATGCTCCACCATTGGCTCCAAATGAAATATGCGGGGTGACTGTTCAACACTGAGGCATGTATATGTGAAAGATTCTGTATAAAACATTGTACAAATTAGGCTACTGTGGGTATATCCATATGGAGCATTGCCTCCGTGTTACATTGCATGTGGAATGAGTGGAAGAGAGGGGCATGTCAGGTGGATCACAGCCATAGCCTGATACAGGGGAGCTGGGGTTTCCGTGGAGATGAAAAACGGGTCTCTCTTGTGAGCATTAACATTCAACAGTTTTGAAACACAATCTGTATTCTGTGAAAGTGGAGTTAGGGAAGGCATTATTATGTTCCACATACCTAAAAATGGCGGGGAAGACTCTACTGTAGCAAGTGCAGCAGATAAAGTGTTTTGATTACTGTTTGCATTCTTCTCATTTTTTAACTGGACAAACTTACTTTAAAGTATGTAAGAATGATTATTTTTAGAATATTTCGGTGTTTTTTTAAAAAAAGTCCAAACACACTAACTTGTAATTCATTTTTAAATGATGTAGAGCTTTACAGTAGCTCTCAGTGTAACTTTTGTTTTACATGTATGTGTACGTGTAATGTGCACTGTGTTTCATAATAAGATGAATAAACTGTGCTAGATTCATTGCACTGAGAGCATCTTTATGGGAACAAGCACTGTGATTTGTAGTGCATTTGGAATAAGTAACAACCTGTTTATGCTGTAGATTATTTCTAAATATACCACAACTGTGCAAAAGGGATGCCTCAATATCTTCCTTCAGCCGTGTCCCTACGTTCTACAGAATGGTGATACATCACAGGTGAAAGCTTGTTCACAAATTATAAACACATTGAAGAAATTGGGGCAAGGGATGCTCTGTCTTCTTGGTGCTTGGGGGGGGTCAACAGTGTGATGTCTTCTAATGTCCTGGCCCCACTGGTGGACCTCCTGATGGCACCTGGTATTTCTGGCCACTGTGTGATACAGAGTGTTGGACTGGATGGGCCTTTGGCCTGATCCAACATTGGCATCTCTTATGTTCTTATGTTCTTAAATGTGTTGCTTTCCTGGGTTTCCGCTCATCTTTTATATGATTCAGGAGTTTTCTTCACAGAAGAACTCGTTCTCATCACCTTGCTGACAAGGTATTTGAATGCTGTTAAATAGTAGTTGTGCTGGATGTGTTATATTAAGAGAAAACAACAGTGGGTTAGGTTGACAGGTGACAGTTCTCATGACAGGGGGCCTCTGCTTAATACAAGATTTCTATTCACTATTTGTTTTATAAAACAAAGCAATATAATTTGCAGGAATAGAATGAGGACTTAAACCCCCCCCCCCTCCCCAAGTCAGCTATTTAGAATTTATTTCTGGTCTCAGTAAATTTGACCAGCGTTTCCTCTGAGCGCCACAAGTGTTGTGAGCAAACAGTCTACCCTGTGAGTGAAAAAAGCCAGTAGCATTAAGGTTGTGAGCAAGTCTACGTTTGACTATCGCTAAATTAGTTCTGTAGAAGATTATTTCCATAACCTTGTAAAAAATCTCAGAACTAATTCTTTTAAACGATGTTTTAAGAATAATTTAAACATTATAAGAGAAAACAGAATCAAGTCAAATTTCATTACGCAAAATGTCCTCTGCAAGGCCTTCAGGGAACAGGTCTATCTGCCCCTTCCCACTCAACGGGTAGACCTGGCCTCTGGAAAACAGGTCTACCCACCCCAGGCCACTCTATTGGTAGACTTGGCCTTGGACTGTTGCCCTGCCATGACCCTTAGAAAACATACTAGTCCTGGGAGGGGGGGGGGGACTCTTGCAGTCTTCTTTGGGGTTTTTTTAGTGAAATATGACAACCAGCATTACATCTCAAATATAACAGAGGTGGAGCAATCACTGTCAGAACCCTGCCTAACCTACTAAACAGAAAGTTGCTTAAATGTTATCAACCTGCCCTAACTACTTACTTATCCAAGTATTTATATCCCACTTTTCCCTGTGACTCAAGGCAGCTTACAAATCATACTAAAGAGCATAACAGGGATGTGCAAAAAATCATTTCTTTTCTGGCTCAATTGTAGACCATGAGGACCATTATAGTCAATAAGCCCTATAGGCTATAATGGAGAATTGATCTGGGGGGTATCTGAGGCTCTGGGGGGGGGGCTGTTTTTTGAGTTAGAGGCACCAAATTTGCAGCATAGCTGCTGCTGCCTCTCCTAAAAAAACAAAACACCCAAGTTTTTAAAAGATTGGACCGGGGGATCCAATTCTATGGGCCCCAGAAGGAGGTGCCCCCATCCTCTATTGTTTGTGAGCTGAAGCAGAAACACCCTGAGCTGGCCTCTGAAATGTTGTGTGCCAGCACCCCCTAGCGCAGTTTAGAGGGAACTGTAAATTCGACCCTGTGTTAATCTGAGATGGTGCTGAACAAGTAACATGGGAGATACACAGATGTTCAGGAGTGCCTTGTTCGGCAGCTAGTTATTTATTAAAATCCATTTCATGTGTCGACTTGTGCCCCATAGGAATACTGAACTGACGTGTATTTTTCTCCTTACTCCAATAAAGGCTATAGGTGTTTAGATTTAAATAATTTCGACAACATAATTTACCAAACATTTATTTTTCTTTGTGTAAAGAAAGAAATAACACATTTTAACCATCTTTAGCATATTACATTTTTAAAAGCTGTAAATTATAATTTATAAAAATTACAAAAAATATGAATGCTGTCAAAATCTGGATAATATCACGTTGATATTTGTGAACCAGGCTAGATCCTCAAGAGCAACAATAGCAGCCTTTACTCGTTCCTCTGAATACTTCACTACCTTGCTAGGTTACGTTGGTCAAGAAAATGGTGACTGCCAAGTATTCCCCCTCTGAGTGGAGAATAAAATATTTCACTCACAACCCTACAAAGTCAATTGTGTGGGGGGAGGCTTCATTTAACTGTAGCGGCACATGAAATCAGCAAAGGCAGCCTTTATTGACCTGAAGTTTCATGATTTGAAATACTGTGGAAACTGAATAGCAGACTATTGAAATCACACGGGATAAGCATCGAAATTGGCATTCAGCACACAATATAATGCCTCTAGAACATTTGGATTTCATTTTTTTTTTTTACCATGGCATTCTTCCCTGCACATCCAGAGCCCTCATAATCGGAAGGTGACTTTATAGGAACTGCTGAGGTCTCTCTTCCCCTTCCTAATGCTGACCCTTCGGTTGGTGGGCCGGGACAGCATCAGACATGCCTGGTCGTTGTTGACAGTGGAAGGCCCTTCTGCAGGTCCCACTACACAAACTATCCCTACAAAAAGCCTGTTATGTTGGCTGCTAGACAGCTGACATGTAAAAGTATAGAGAAGGAGCTTGTACTGTTGGCAAGGGCTGATTGTATGGCAGTCGGGTCATTTGCTGCAGGAGCGCACAGGAGCGGGGCTCCGGCAGTAACGAGCCCAGCAGGTGGGCACATGCAACAAGCCCCACCCCCTGCTCCCAGCAGCCCCAGGCCACGAGGAGCAAGAAGCCTCTTTCCTTCCTTCCTTCTTTCCTTTTCCCTCATTTCCTTCTCTCCCTCTTTACCTCCTTCTTTCCTTCTCTTTTCCCCCTCCTTCCTTCCTTCCTTCCTGCACAGATCTGTGTGTGTCGTCCCCCCCCCCCACAGCTAGCAATCCAAAACAGTCCAGTGGCACCTTTACGGCCAAGTTTTATTCAGGTACAAGTTCTCCCTCCTCTGTGAGGACAGATCTGCACGTTCCCCCCAAATAGCTAGCAATCCAAAACAGTCCAGTGGAGTCTGAGCAGTGGATGTTGCCTTCTGACACTTTTCCCGTGATGTCAGGGGGTGTGGCATATGCAAATAAGTTATGCTAATGAGTTCTGCTAATGAGCTCCTGCACCTCTTTTTCTACGAAATGACCTGACTGCCGTCAAGTCCTTTTCTTTCTTTTTTTAACCACACATAGGAATAATACTGCCCTTCATTACAGGGTTATTGTAAGGATCCTAAGGTAACAGTCCCAAATGTTAAGTATAGAAATTGTAACATTCAGCAGGTCTTCTGGATTCTTCTGCATGAACAACCTGCACGCAAAAAAATGTATGTGTTCAGTATGCAAGTTCGTTGAAGGGGGAAAGGGTACAAACAATGCAGTTTAAGAAGAGACTGCAGGACAGCGTGTTCAAACTGTCATTCCCAAGTATTCTGTCTGAATGTAGAGTGACCCTTGGGCCGCTTGTGAAGACGATCACTCGTTCAAATGGCCACTTTGCTTTTGTAATAACCAACTAATCAGTATGAGTGGTCGTCTCCGGGGCTTCGTCTTCATTCATTCTAGGCACAGTTGTCTCCCTGCTCGGTATGCGTGCCATTTAAATTCTATCCAGCTCCATTTGCCAAAATGAGATTGCAGAAGAACTAGAGAAAGGTTTACCACCAACGACAAGCAGGACAGCAGAGAGCTCACCAATACCCACACAGTCCGGGTTTAGACAGCTGAAGCCTGCCTCCTTCTCTGGAACGTTGAGGGCGACATGACCTTGTTCCATTGAAAGATTGAGGTATGAGATTTTCTCTTTCTTGGACAAGAGGCCTGCTGGCTGGATTGCACAGAGTTCTGCATCGGAAGTGGTCTGGAGTGAACAGAATCCAGGCTCCTTTGAAGGTTGGTAAAAGGTGCTCATTTCGATTGCATCACCGTCGTCATTGCTGAAGGCTCGGTATGTCGGCTCTGGCTGCAGGTACTCGCAGAAACAGGAGTGCTGCTTTGAGATGGCTAGTAGCTTTGAACAACGTTTTTCTTTCCGACGCAAACAGTAGTTGAGCGATACAGATGAAGAGTCAGCCATCTCCTGGAAATCACATCCAAGTCCCAGGAGGCAGTGATAAGCTTTGGATGAAGGATTTCCATCCTTTGGGCTAGCTACTTTTTTCCACATCTCAGAAGGAAAGTGGTATTTCCACAGTCCGCCGCTTGGCTCAGTATTAGAAATTCCTCCACCAAAGACTAGCATGGAGTCTTGAAAGATTAAAGCAGAGTGTCCCACCACTTTGGGAGGCCCCTGGCTAAAACAGAGACACATTAATGAGTACAAGGACAATAATTGCTGCCAGCATCCTCAGCACCGAACCTGAGGTGGTCTTTCCCGAGAGAGAGAGAGAGAGAGAGACACCCCCCAAAACGACCTCTGAACCTCCACAAGCAGTGCCCTATGAAGCCAGGCTTGGCTTAAACAGTGGCTTTTGCTGGGAGGCTAGAAGAACCACATCTTGGCTGAGAAAACTCAGGCCAAAGAGAATTCTCCAGGCTGGCTGCACTGCCAAGCATTCTCCATGCAAGCAAACCCCCCCCCACACACACACACAATCTTCTCTCCTGTCAGCTTAGTCCAAAAGGACTAGAATGGGGCAGTTTCTACTCTCACCTCAGGCATCTTCTGCTGACCACATGGCTAGTCTCTTGTCTGTCAAATGTACAGGCAGGCAGGGACAAAAAGCCTCTGGTCTGTGCTATTGTCATGAATGAAACACGTTGCATGTTTCCACCCCCCTCTCCTGTTTCACCCATGTCAGGAAATATCTTTGGAACAATCCTCTCATCCCTGTCTCCATATATTTGTCTTAAGATATCTGCATTCTTACACCTATGCCAGACCTATCAAGGTAAACATTAATTCTTCATGTCTAGTGAATGGTCACCTATTCAGGTTCATCCTGCCACACATTAAGAAACATCACTTCTTTTGTCTGGCACGAGGGGAAACGCCAGACCACTCTATTGTTCCACAATGGACACCCCCAGTACAGTCATCCAACACCTGGCTTCTATTGTTAAATCCAGACCCTGCCTCTGCTGGAAGCTCATTGGTCACATCTAGGCCTTGCCCATCCTGATGCCACACACCCCTGGGACTCATCATTGGCCCAGGTAAGCTATTGTTCTCACCTGAGACCAGCCCCCTGGGCTGCTCATTGGGCTGCATTGGTTTTCCATGTCTATCTCCATGAGCACGTGGTCTCAGACTGTGTGCCTCTGCCCTGATGGCAACTGGCAGTCCACCCCTAAACCCTCTGCGTTTAGTCCACAATCCCTCCTTCACGGACCTCTGCACATCTGGACAGGTAGTATCACCTCATTAGCTATCAATTACCTCTGCTTTCTTAGTCCTGTACTGTTTGTGTGAATGCTTGATTTTATGTTTATAAGTTTAAGAATCCTTCAGTAAAGAAATCAATGCTTTAGTAATCTAGTCTCTGTGTCTATTTCTATGACTTGGATAAAATGGGACTCTGGTATATAAAGGTCATGATCCTATAGTTATGCCAACTGCACATTAATATCATTAAAGAAATATAGCAATTTGGCTAACAATATTCACATAGATGAAATGGAAATAAATTTTTGATTAGTTTAAGAGGAAAGACTATCATTAATAAATCACTTTCCTCCTCTCATCAGTGCAGTTCTCTCCATGTTATGGATCCAAATTATATCAGTCTATCCAATGGAAAGGGCCATTGGGTACTTACTGAGATAAGGAGATACCTTCTCCTCTGAGAAAAGGAGGACATCTTGATAGGGTGTTTCCCACCCTATCTGTAGGGAGGCAGGAACCAAACTTTCCACTTCCTGTCCTCTTGGTGGAACACGCCCCTTCAAGCCAGTTCTGGAACTCCCAGAAGCAGTAGGACAACTGTAAATATAACCAACTGAACCATGAACCGGCTGAACAGCAAGAATGGCATAATATGAACAGGAGAAAAAACAGACAGGAAAGAATGTACAGCTGAAGGATAGGAACAGCAGAACGGAGCAGTTAGTTGATGACAGGGGAGGGCCAAGATGTCCTCCTTATCTCAGAGAAGAAGGACCCTTCTCGGTAAGTCCCCCAATGGCCTTTTCTCCCTCTGAGAGGACATCTTGATGGGACCTCACATAGCAGTGTCCTCATCAGTTGGGTGAGTCATGGTCCTTGTCAGTCAGAATGTGCTGTAGAACCCTTCTGCCGAAGGCCGCATCAGCTGAGTCACAGATGTTTATCTTATAGTGTCTGATAAACGTAGAGACTGATGACCACGTGGCTGCCTTACAGATTTCTTCCACTGTGGTGTGGCTTGCCAAAGCTGCGTTTGTTGCTGCGCTTCAGATAGAGCGAGCCATGGTCCCTGGAGGGGGCACCAGCTTGTGAGCCTTGGAGGCTTCCTCAATGCAAGAGTTGAGAGTAGAATAGTGGCCTTGGACATCTTATAGCCCTTGTTAGGAGGGGAGATGGAGATGAACAAGGACTCCATCTTCCTAAACCTACTAGTGCAATGAAGGAAAGTCTTCAGGGCACATCACACGTCCAAAGAGTGCCAGATCAGCATGACAGCAGGCAAATCTCCTGAGACCTGTGGAATCGAGAGTTTACCTTAGGTTGAAAGGTCGGATCAGTAGTGAGTACTACCTTTGTGGAAAATGCAGAGCTGCGGGTTAGCGAAAAGGGCCCCTAGTTCTGACCCTCTCCTGGCCGGTCACTGCCACCAGAAACAGGGTCTTCATCCACAGCCACTTCAGAGGAATTTCCTTGATGGGCTCGAAAGGGGATCTGGTCAAGGCATTGAGGACCACGTTTAGTCTCCACCTGGGGAATCTGTGCAAAGTAGGAGGATCCTGAAGGGCTGCCCCTTTTAGGAACTCCAAGTATACAAATTCCACTAGTAGAAAACACCATCAAAGATTGCCAAAACAATATATTTATTCCAAATATATTTGGAAGATGCATTTCCTTTGACTTCTTCATGAACAAAAGAGGCTGACCATTTGAGCAAACAGTTGGAAGATAAGGGTTACCCAAAGGAGGTAATAAGGAAAGCAAGAGAAAGAGTCGACAACAGTGAGAGGAAAAATCTGTTGGGAGTATAGAAGTAGGACAAAAATCTTTGAAAACCTATGATTCGCTTCTTACACCATGAACCTTGTGGTCTGTTGAAATTGCTGGAATCAGGGTGAGTGTATTTTTCAGGCATGTTTTTAAAAACAATTTTGTTTTTCATACGTGTTTTTGTGGCTAGGCATTTGTGTAAATCTCTTCACAGTTCCACTTACACAGCCGGCAAACTGAAGAAGTCAAAGGAAACGCATCTTCCAAATGTCTAGAATGGGCATCTTTGCAAAGGCTGTTTGGAACATGTTGTGACTCTGTGGACTCATCCTATCAAGTTATCAGGTTACACTGAGTACATGGACTTTATGTCTTCTCTTCAAAGGAGGAAATATTGTATCTTATGCCTTATTATAGTTACAGTATGCATTAATGTTGTTGTTGTGACACCACCAACTTTATAATTGTTCAATATATTGTTTTGGCAATCTTTGATGTTGTTTTCTACGAGTGGAATTTGTATATTTGGGATTCCTGTGACACTAGTATTTTCCCCCTTCTTGTTCGGATTTACCTTTAGGAACTGGCATATGTGAGAGTGTCTGGAGAGGCCGCAGCCATTGAGTGTGGGAAGGACAGTAGCTCGGGCCGCCACCTGGCATCTGAGAGTGGAGGCCTTCCGCCCAGCATCATGGCCATCCTGCAAGAAGGTCAGAATGCTCCTTATATGCGGTTTCAGTGGACCTAGGCCTTTTTTCCCTTGCCCACCTGACAAACACCTTCCAAGTGGTATGATAAAGCCGACTGGTGGACTGTTTGTCACCTTTTTGGAGTAGGCTAGTCTGAGGAGCTTTCCCTGCTCAATCGCCAAGTGGTGAAATGGAGCCAGCCCCGGTCTGGGTTCCAGATGGGCCCCTGAGTTGACATGTCTGGAGTTACAGGTAGAGGGAGGGGTGGGTGGAGGGCGAGATTCTGGAGCTCTGAGGACCATGGCCTCCTCGGCCGATACGGAGCCACCACTATGATCTCCACTTTCAACTCTCGGATTTTCTGCAGGAGCTTTGGAAGGACTGGGGTCGGAGGATACGCGAACATGAGTCCGGGTGGCCACTTGGACGCCAGGGCATCCATCGCCTCTGCCCTGTGGTGATAAAACCTGGTAAAGAATCTTCGCACCTTGTGGTGGTCTGGGAATGCAAATAGTTCCATTGTTGGAAGGCCGCAGTGATGCACAATGAGCTCGAATAAGTCCGTCTTTAGGTACCATTCCCCTTCCTGTAGTTGCCATCGGCTGAGTCAGTCTGCGTGAGTGTTCAGAGAACCCTTTACGTGCTCTGCCTTGATGGAGGCCACATTGACTTCTGCCCAGAGTAGCAACTTGGAGGCTTCCCTGTGGAGCAACGATGACTTAGAACCCTCCTGGCTGTTTATGTTCGCCTTGGCAGATATATTGTCTGTCCTGATGAGAACATGGTGGCTGGAGAGCTGTGAGCAGAAGTGAAGAAGGGCTAGGCGAATGGCCCTGAGTTCAAGGTGTTGATAGGTAGCTTCTTTTCTTTCCTGGACCATAGACCCTGAGCTGGCGAGTTCATATAGACTGCTCTCCAGGTCTGAAGGCTGGCATTCATGATTATCTGCTTCCAGTCCGCAATGTAGCAGATGCGCCCTCGCAGAAGATTCCCTGTCTTGGTCCACCACACTAGACTGATCTTCACTTTGAGTGGAACATTGACAGGAAGATCCTCCCTTGTCATAATTCTGGATTGGAAGGATCTCGCGTGTAGAAACTGGTGCAGGGATCTCGCGTGTAGGCGGGCCCATTGCACAGAGTCTATGCAGAAGATGAAATGCCCTGTTAGCTTGGCTAGGGACATCAATGAGGACTGCTTGCGTTTGATGATCTGTTGAGAAAGAGAACGGATCTTCTCCGCCTTGGACTTTGGAAGGATCATACAGTTCTGCACCGTATCCAGGATCATGCCTAAGTGTTCAATCGATTGGGAAGGAGTCAGGCAGCTTTTTGTTAATGTTCATGAGCAACCCATGAGACCGCAACTTGGATGGTGTCTTCTGTCTACTGGAGAGCCTTGGCTTCTGAGCTGGAGTGGATCAACAGGTTGTCCAAATAGGGATGAACATGTATGCCCTGCTCCTGCAGTAAGACGATGGGGTGTATAAGGATCTTTGAGAACACCCTCAGGGCGGTTGACAGGCTGAAGGGGCAGGGCTTTGAACTGCCAATGTTGACCTTGCACACAGAAGCGTAGGAAAAGGTATGCTTTGGTCAAATCAACTGAAGTCAGGAACTCTCCCGACTGTAGAGCCTCCGCAATGGACCTTAGAGTTTCCATGCAGAAGTGATGTAATTTCACAAACCTGTTTAGATATTTCAAGTCCAAAATTGCTCTCCAACTTCCATTCCTCTTTGGGATGGTGAAGAAAATTGAATAAACACCCTGCTCTCTCTCGAGAAGGGGAACTGGCTCTATAGCCAGAATACTGGAGAGATGTCGAATAGCATCTAGAGTCCTGTGGAGTTTGGCTGGGTTCTTTATTGCTAGTGAGGGGACATAACGATCTGGTGGTCTTTTCAAAACCTTGATGGAGTAACCCTTCGAGGTGATCTCCCAAGACCACTGGTCTGCTTTTGAGTTGATCCATTCTTGGTGGAACAGAAGCAGGCGTCCCCCCACCGGACCTGACTCGTAGTCATGCCTTGGCGGGCTTGTCGTCCTGACTGGATTTATCATCCCTATTGGGGAAGGACTTGCCGGACCGGTTGTGGAAAGGATTTCTTCTGAAATTCTGTCTGGAATTCCGCCGGGAGTATCTTCTATTGTCCCTGTTGAACCTCGTAAGGAGCATCTGGGTACGAAGGAATAGTTGCCTGGACGACTTCTTTTTGGTCTACCCAAGGATTTGGGCATTGCTTTTTTCTTGTCCTTAGTTTCAATGAGGATCTTGTCTAGAGCATACCCGAACAAGCGGTCGCCCTGGAGTGGGTAAGCTGTGACCATGGTTTTGGCATGCAGATCCGCTTGCCACGCCCTAAGCCAGGGCAGCTACAGTGGAGGCCAAAGCTCTGGATGAGAAGATCGTAGAGTAGCCTCTGCAGAGAAGGAAGATGCTTTGAGTATCCTGTTTGCACCCTCAGACAGGGCGTCTGTTGGAATTGGGGATAAGCTGGACGAGCTTCCTGGACCAGGAGTGGCTGACACTTTGACAGCCGTGACAGTAGCCTCATGAGCCTTCTTCCGTAAGGCAAACTCTGCTTTCTAGTCCGGGCTGTCTTTCACTGTGCTGTCCCCATCTGCAGAAAGCAAACCCTACGTCTGAAGTGCCGTTACCGGGGCATCCACCAGGGGGACCTGTAGGAACTGACGGGTAAAGCATATAATTTTTTAACGTTTGGAGGGCAATGTTTGTTAGCCACGGGTTTAGCCCACTCATTCTTAAACTCAGGAAGTAGGAACACCCTTTCTGTCCCAGGGGTCCTGGGGAGATATTCCTTGCTCCCTCTTGGTCTAGATTCATCTGAGGGAGTGGAATGGCTAGATTTGTCGGCTGGGCCTTTTGGCTGTAATTCTAAGGCAGACAAGGTCTTAGAAAGAAGACACTGGTAGTCTTCAGGTTTAAAAATGCGTATAGATGGTTCTGGAACCTGTAATTCCTCCTCCTCCTCTTCATCTGAAAGGAATTCCCCTTCCTCCTTGTCATCCATCACACTGTCCTCGTCCTGGAATGGGTCCCACTGGGGGGGGGGAGGCCTTTATGCCGGAATATGATCTTTCCCGGCTGCTTCAGTTAGCCAGCGAGGTCTGTCTTCCTCTAGTGGGAGTCTGTCTAAATCTCCCTGTCTGCAGTCCCTGTGAGTTGGGGAGGGGATGGATTGGGAGCTGTCCCCAATGAGGGTTGCTTGGCAGTAATTTGAGATTTCTTCCCTCGTGGCTTGTCTAAGAAAATGCATGAGCTCAGATGAGAGTAAGGAGTCCCCCCCCTCGAAGTTACTCATGAGTAAACCCGGCTGAGACTCTGCTTCTCCGGAGGCTTCTCAGGCCCGTAGCCACAGTGGGGCATCTTGGGGCCCGGCCCCCTGACTTACCACCAAGGCCCCCCTGACTTCCCATCCAGCCCAGGCGCTCCCTTGGGGATGTGTGTGCAGCAGGGGTGTGGGGGGTGCCCCCTTATTTATTTAAAGGCCCCCCAAATTTAAGAAATCCTGGCTACGGGCCTGAGACTTCTGCTGTCACTATTTGGGCATTTGGGATATTGTGCCCATCATCAATCTCCACAGTCTGGCTTGTGGGGGCAGGCGCAGCCGCTCCGCAGCCTTCTCCCGCTCTGCCTAGGGGCCTCCAAAGTGTGGGTGAATCCAAAATGGCACCCGCGCAGAGAGCTGCGGGCGAGTGGTGGGGCTGCTTTTTCACACACTTTTCCTTTGGCGTGGCTTGGTTCCTGGGAGCGGCGGGGGTGGCGGCGGCGGGCTGCCTCCGAGGAATTGGCTTGTTTTGGGAGGCAGCTTGGGAAGCTTCCCGTTCTCCCTCCAATAGGAAGACATCAGAGCCTTCTTGGTGTGACATGCTCCAGCCGGAGCGTCGGAGAGGGCAGGAGGTCAAAGGAGAGGAGTTGGAAGTCAGCAAAGGGCAGGCGAGGGGGAGGAGGGAGGAAGGAGAAAGCAGTAAAGAGGACTACAGAAGGCTTGAATATGAAGAGAAAGAAAATTAAGCAAATAAGCACAAGAGCCAAAATGTGCTGCTCTCCCTACTGAGGCAGGAACAGAACTGGCTTGCAGTTCTTGTCCCACCAAAAGGACAGGAAGTGGAAAGTTTCGCTCCTGCCTCCCTACAGATAGGGTGGGAAACACCCATCAAGATGTCCTCTTCTCAGAGGAAGTATGTCTGGACCACACCCTAAATCAGCTCTTCATCAGGTACAATGATTACTATTATGGATCCTTGTATATTGATTCAGTCAGCACAAATTCCTCTGTTTTCCCCATAATACCAATGATTCTGAATTCAAGTTGCACTAATTCAAATAACCAACTGCATGCTTTTCAGACTGCTTCTAGGAAAAATTGGTACTCTCTTTAATAAGGTATAATTTGGCATGTCAGTCTACCCTTGTATCAATACTAATTTCAATTAAAAACAAGAGCTGGGACTAAAGACCAGTATGCTCACCAGGACTTTTCTGGCTATCCTTTTCTACAGCAACCCTTTCCAACATCACCAGAAGTTGCTGTAGTAATACAAATACAGCAAAGCCCAGCTACACCAGATCTCAGCATCTTGCTAATTTACTTCTGCAAACTGTATCACTGTTAGGTAGGAAAGAGATTCCCCCCTCCATCAAACTTGCTGATAACCAAGGCTGCAGGTGAATTTCTCAGCTAAAAAGCTTACCTCTTTCTGATGCTAGACCAGTTGGTAGCTATGAAATCCCACTTCCAAAAGTCTTTTTGCTCACTCAGTCCCATCAGCCCTCCAAACAAGTACATGCCATTGCTGTAAACCACAGCTGCATGACCGTGCCGAGGGCCTGGACTGCCACCATACAGAGTAGCTGGTACTGGGCACCACTGTTTGGTATCTGAAAACAAAGGATTACAACTGTTAGTCACCATCATGGAGCTGAAGGGAGCTGTGAGACCACATTCCTATTCTGGGGTTTTCCAAGGGTTTGGTATAAAATAGCCACAAACCATTCTGCTCATATGCCTATACTTACCAAAACAAAAAGTCCAGAATTCTTGGGAAACACCTTTAATGTCAAAGTATCCACCATACATGTACATGCTGCCCTGGTAGACAACTGCACTATGACCCTTGCGGTTAGAAGGAGCTGTTCCCTGGAAAGATGATGGAAGTGTGACAACCTATTAACAGTTGCTGCCATAAAAATCAAGCATTCACGCTTTATCAGACAGCAGCAGTTCACTCCAATAGCATCAATAACATTGTTCCGCTAGTTACAACCACTTGCAGGAGTGTAGAATAGGAGATTAGAATGTGACTTTTATCATTAGATGGGTGGCAAAAGCACCAAGCTAACTTGTATTTCACAACACTGTGGTATAATGGAGACACATGCTATCCTACCATTTTTGTTCAGTAAGACAAAAAGTACTTACAATTGTATTACAAAACGTACTCCTTTTTTTTTACAGAGTACTGGATCTCTAAAAGATGAGTTCCACATGGGTGGAAGCTGTTCTTCAAATAATTCGTATGAAGCAACACTCCTCAAACCTAGCATAGCTTCGGAATTATCAAACTGCTTAGAAGAAGAAGAAGGGATTGGATTTATACCCCGCCCTTCACTTGGAGTCTCAGAGCGGCTTACAAACTCCTTTCCCTTCCCCTCCCCACAACAGACACCCTGTGAGGTGGGTGGGGCTGAGAGAGCTCTGACACAAACTGCTCTTTTTCAAGGACAGCTGTGCCAGAGCTTGTGACTGACCCAAGGTCACATCAACAGGTGCAAGTGGAGGAGTGGGGACTCAAACCCGGTTCTCCCAGATTAGAGTCCGCACACTTAACCACTACACCAAACTGGCTCTTCTTGGTTCCCTACAGAGTTCATACCAAGAAGTGGTATGAACTCTGCATAAAGTCAGTGATGCTATGCCTTTTTAAATGATTTTTAAAGCAGTTTGGAAATTCCTTGAAATGTAGAAGCAGAACTCTGGTGCAGCCCAGTCAGAGGGAACTTTGCTGGAAATCCAGGGTGCCCTGCTCAACCCCATTATTGCTGTAGCCTTGGAGGAAGAGAAGGCAGTTTGAGACTTGAGAGGGACCGATTGCCCCCACACACTTGGAATGAAAGCACACACATGCACACACAACCAATCCCTCCCCTGTATGAGCAGTGGCTGCAGGGGGGTTGGGATCTGAACAGCATGCTTTGGGTTTGCTTTTTTTTCCCTTATAAACTGACTTTCCCCACTCTAGAGTATTTTAAAACAGTTTTTCATAGGTATCTTATTTAAAGGGTGAGTCATTAAAGGTTCTCTAACAGGAGCAATGCAGCAGCATCATACCGTTTATTTCCTTGCTCCATGTCCCAGGCCAAGCCCACACTGGAACTGTTTTCAGAACATATTCCAAAGCAAGCTGTTTAATCAACAAAGCCACATGTTTCATATATGATTCATATATTTGTTTTTCCAATTTCTTACCTCACCCTGTACTGCTGGGAGCTGGCACTGAAGCCACTTGGCTGAATCTGCAGAAATACAGTTTTAACAAAGTGTCTGTTACACTGCCAATTGATAGGAGGTGATGCTGCTCTATTTGCAATGCAATATAAGAACCTGACCATCTGGAAGGGAAAGGACACAGTTTCAGCTGGTCAACTCTCTCCTTCAGAGCAATTAAGGAAAAAATGTGTGCCACCGAGGTAGCTCACAAGTAGCTTCTCAACCCAGTCATCTCCATAGCAAGCCCCAGAGCTCAGTAGTAATCCTACCTGATATATATATAATTGCCCTAATGCGTTGGCCATTTCCAGCTCTCCCATTGGCAGTGCTGTGCACTCCATCAACCATTGACCTATCAACCGTTACTCAAGAGTACTCACGTGCCAGTGGATGGGTGCTGGGTCCACTCCTCTCCCCCACCTACTGGCAACCTAGACACTCTTCCCTCACATAATAAACTGTCAAAACAGCTGTCTCCTAACGATGACACTTCTCCTGCTTGGCTCCTGTGGAACTAGGCAACCTAGCTTGGTTCTGTCAGTAAAAAGGCAAAGATAGGAGGCCCTTTCCAGACCTTTGTGGGGAAGTGATTGGGGCCCGTCCTGACTAGGGTTGCCAGCTCCTGGATATTTTGTGATGGAGTCTACAGAAGCCAGAGTTTGGGGAGGGGAGAGGCCTCAGCTGAATAGATTGTCATAGAGCCCACCCTCCAAAGCAGTTATTTTCTCGGGGGGGGGGATCTATTGTGTGGTGTTCAGATGTGATACCCGGCAATCTTCAAGCTCCACCCGGAGGTTGGCTACCATAGGTGTAACAGTTAGAGTTTCAGAGCAAGGTCTGCCAGACCCAGGTTCTTGCTGTGGAAGTTGAGTGGGTGATTTTGGAACAGTCACAGCCTTTTAGCCTAACCTACCTCACAGGGTTGTTGTGCAGATCAAAAGGGGGAGAAGAGAATGATGTAAGCTGCTTTGGTCTCCACTGTGGAGAAAGACTGTACTTTTCCTCCCCTTGACAGCCAGTGTGACATAGCAGTTAGCGCTTCAGAGCAGGGTCTTCCTGTGAAAGCTGACTGTGTGATTTCAGGCCACTCACAGACTTTCAGCCTAACCTACCTCACAGGGTTGTTGTGCAAATCTAAAGGGGGAGGGGAGAATGATGTGAATTGCTTTAGTCACCACTGTGGAGAAAGACTGTACTTTTCCTAGGTAGAGACTACAGGGAAGGGGGAAGAGGGAAGAGATGGAAACCTGGTCAGAGAGGCAGTTAACAGTACATTGAAGGAAATAGGGTTGCCACCTCCGGGTTGGGAAATTCCTGGAGATTTGAGGGGTGGAGCCTGGAGAGGGTGGGGTTTGAGACAGGTACAATGCCATAGACTCCACTCTCCAGACCAGCCATTTCCTCCTGGAGAACCATTGTTGCCAATCTCCAAGGGAGGGCTGGAGATCATTCAGAATTACAACTGCTTTCCAGATGGCAGAGATCAGTTCCCCTGAAGAAAATGGTGGACTGTGTAATACGCTGCTGAGGTCGCCACAGCAAATTGATGCTGAGTGCCCAATGCCAGGGCACCCGCCCAGAGGTTTCTAGAGCTCGTTGTATTTATTTCCACAACAGGCCTTGTTCCTAGTTATAATAGTAAATAAAATGTAATACTCCCCCCCCAAAAAAAAAAACCCTAGGACCATTTCCACATAGGCTATTTTGCCCTAGGTTCAATGCTGTTCAGAAGTGAGTTTTTCCCTGATTATCCATGGTGCATTTGTGCATCTCCCAAGGTTTCCACAGGTTGATCTTTCTCAAACCTGCTTTGCTGAGTTTTGGAAAGACAACAGCAAAGTTCATATTTTCCTGGTCCAGCTCACATGGTAGCTGTCTTCCCTGTTCTTGCCACCAAAGGCCTTTTAATTTTTTTATTGTTTTTAATCAGCAGTTTAATATAACATTACAGTAATTTATCATGTTCTCTGAATTCTAGCTTTCATTTAAAAAAAGAAGTCTCTAGCCCCCTAGAAAGTTACTTTTTACAACGGGAGAGCTAGGAATTCAGAGTCCCTAACAAACATATAACTATATAATGATATTCAATTGCTGTTTAAAACCACTGAACAATCCCTGGTGGTAGGGAGAGGGGATGGGGGCAGGGAAACCTGCCTCGTGGAAGCGCCTCTGCTACTGTGCTGTATTGGCAGCAGGGTAACTATGCAACCCTGTCCCCGTGAGGAAAACACCTAGAAGACATGTTGACTGACTGGTAGAATAACAATTATGTGGAAATTACTTGTGTCCCCAGTAATATTCTCTAAATGGTTATTTTTTTAGCTGTTTGATTTCTCATGCTTAAAGAGTTTCCAAATTAAATATTGGATGAATGTAACTTCTACCAGATAACTGTTCCTGGAAATGAGTTTAAGGAGACATATCTGAAACACTCATCTCTAAAGCAAAAGAAATAGCTTATAAAGCTTTAGGGTTTTTTGTTTTGTTTTTTCCGTGTATGTGTGTGAGAGAGCTCACATTCTGCCTTCTTCCAGTGGACTATCAGCAACAAAAAGGCAGATATCTGCCTTTCCATAGTAGTTCAACTGTGCCTTTTCCTACACTTGTGAAGGGTATTACCACGTGTAACAAAGAGAAACAGCCAATCAGGGTTCCCATGGGCATATAAGACCCACAAATGCTCTTTCAAACATTATAGAAAAGATAAAACACAGAAGAAATGTGCTTGCTGCAACAGCATCTTGTTTCTGAAGTAAATTGTCAGAAAACCTTTAAGGAAACATATATTCCATACAAAGAAGACAGGTGAATTCTCACCCTCTTGGTCCTGTAATGAAATATTATTTTTGCTGTGAATAAGGTAAATTGATAGCAGGGTTTTTTTTTGGGCACAGTGGCTTCTTAGATATACTGCAACATAGTCGCAGTCTATTGTTCCAATTATACAAACCCTATGTTCCAGCAGCCATCAGGTGCCAGTAACTTCCAAAGCCTTAGAAAACAGTCCAGCTAACAAGCGTTAGTGCAATTCTGGGAAACATCTGTCTCAATCAACAGAAAGATGTTTTCTTTTCTATAGGTATGTTGCTCTAGAATGCTGAAACACTGCAGATCAAGCAGGCTGACTAGCTGGAGTTCACTGGACTGGAAACATGATGCCTCAAGCAACCTCAGGACAGTAAAATGGGGGAAATGTCTCCTCTCTCTGCTCAGCCCAAACCCACCGCTCTCCCTCCTCAAAGAATATAAACATATTTTTCACGTAGGTCTAATTATCCTTGATTAGATGCTTCAAGTTGCATTCAAAATCCTGTCATTCCTGAAATTTAAGTACAATTATTGAAGGACCAAATTATTTAATCCGTATGGCACAATTATAGGAACAGAACAGGGTAACTAAGAAATTATATCCACCACTGATATTTCCTCTTCCTCAATATTTGGATACGGTCATTTTCTAACAAATGTCCTATGTAGACCTCAACCATTGCATTTCCCCCCCCCTCCCACAATACCTAAAACAAAGCACGTCTGATGGAACTAGGGTTATTTTTTGTAATAATTTTATATGGGAGAAAGAAAAATATTAGAAGACACAGCATAGTGCTGTGTTTAAAGAGTCAGTCTAGAAACTGGGAGACCCAAGATTGAATCCATGCTCTGATGTGGAGGCTGGCTGGGTGATCTTGGGCTAGTCACTCAACCTAATCTACTCACTGGGTTGCTGTGAGGATAAAATTGAGACGAGGATTATTACGCAAGCTGCTTTGGGTCCCCACTCAGAAGAAAAGCAAAGTATAAATATCTCAATAAATAAAAAGGGCCCTCCATTTGGCCCACAGTTAAATTCGTCAATTCAGCTCACATTTCTGATACAAGGTCATTTATGAGTGATGCTAGCAGCTTTAAACTCCAGAAAAAGCTGCTATGAAATGGAAAGCAAAACAGACCATCTGATGTTAAAAGAAACAGGGTATCTACATGACACATTTATATGTTTTGCCAGCATTTAAAGGCATGTATGACCTGAATAATGGGGCTGCAGTGGCTCAAGTGCTTAAGACGCTGAACTGCCGACCGGAAGGTTGGTAGTTCGGCAGTTTGAGGCCCGAGTGCTGCATGACGGAGTGAGCTCCCGTCTCTGGCCTAGCAGTTCGAAAGCAAGAAATTGCAAGTAGATAAATAGGTACCACTTTGGTAGTAAGGTAACAGCGTTCCGTTCGCCTCGGCATCTAGTCATGGCGGCCACATGACCACGGAAACGTCTTTGGACAGCGCTGGCTCTTTGGCTTGGAAACGGAGATGAGCACCGCATCCCTAGAGTCGGATTCAACTGGCTTTCGAGCAAGGGAAACCTTGACCTTTACCTATGACCTGAATAGCCCAGGCTAGCCTTATCTTATCAGTTCTCAGAAGCTAAGCAGAGTCAAGCCCTGGTTAGAACTTGGATGGGAGGAACCACCAAGGAAGACCAGGATTGTCCTACAGAGGCAAACAGCCTCTAAATGTCTCTTGCTTCCCTGCTGGTGTCGCCATAAGTGGTCTGTGACTTCACAGCACTTTCCACCACCACACCTCAGATAGGGTTAGGCTGAGGGCTGCCAGCTCACAGGGGGGAAACCCTTTAATAAAGGATCAATGGGATGCTATTTCCCAAGTGATCTTATTTATCTCTATGCTATCACCAGCCCATTTCCACCCATTAAGACCCTATTAAAGGGACAGGCCATTTTTTTGCCAGGCCTGTTGGCAACCCTAAACCAGCCCCTCCTACTGACTGCAAATCACCGTATCACTGTGAATGTCCAGAAGTTGCTAATATTCACATACAAGTGTTCATAACCCCAGTCAAATTTGGTAAATATCCAAACATTCAGAGATACACCAGCCAGCACTGAAAGTCACCTAAATGTCATAGTTGGTTTATGTTCAAAAAAGTAGAAAATGGGTATCTTCAGACAGCCATGCAATTTGTTGGAGCATGTCAACATTCATAGTCTCCAAATTTAGGAATGTAACAGCTGGTATCCTACCTTAGACTGGAGGAAATTCCGTCCAAACTTTCTCCAGTTTAAGAGGCTGTTACTGTAACTGAGGCCCAAAGTACATGTTACCTTTAATACAAGATCAATACAGGAACTTAAAGCCACACACCAACTGTGAGTTCCACATGGGAACTCAATTCTAAGGCATCACAAGGACCCAGTTTGGATTGGGACCACGGCACAGAGGGAGAAGGGCCTTCAGCTTACTCACTGTGCCATTTTCCTATCCCAAAACAGCCTCGTGGGGGCTGCATGTGCAGCCTCCTCCCCACAGAGCAAACACACACACCTAACCATTTGGGATTGGGAAAACCAGCCAGAGGAAAGGTCAGAGCTCCTCTTCCCCCCACATGCCAGGGTCCTCCTCTGAATCAGGCTCCAGCAGCACTTTAGAACTGAGTTCTTGGGGGGGAACTCCCAGCTGGAGTCCTGCTGCCAGTGTACATGGGGCTCATGTGTTAAATATAACGTACTTTGGGCCTTAGATATTCCTCTGCAGAACTGTTTACATGATGGCCCTTGGTGAAGCTACTTGTCTTGAGCCATACCAGTGTCATATAGCCAGAAAGGATTCTTCTTCTGTGTGAAAGCTGAATCTACCATCCCGCCAAAGATGTAGAGGATACCCTGCAAATACAATGATGATTTTCCAGTCAATCATACTTACATTTACCAAAGTCTAATGAAAAAAACAAAAAACAAAACCAACAACACACATTTGATGCTTTCAAAAGTCAAAGCCTACTTCATCAGATGGTATACCCTTGAAAAATGTTTCGGTCTCTAAAGTGCAAATGGATTCAAATTGTGTTTTGCTACTACAGACTAACAAGGATGCCCATCTGAAGCTAACACACATTGGACAGAGAAAAAAAGGCTGCCAATTCTAATCTATAGCCAAGAAAATGATGTTTACTAATGCAAATTCCTTTCAGATAGGTAGTATGCAAAAATACAGTATGATGTTGTTTAACAATACATTTGGCATTTTGCTTTAATGACCTTAAGTTCTTTAACATACTATGGTGAGTGCAAGTTATACAACAAGTTCGAGTTTCAAGACATATCTTTTACATTTGTGCAAGTGCCTTCTTAGGGTAAAGACTTGAATGATTTAAATGTTAACAGCCCACCCACACAGATCTTGCTGGCATGCAGCAGACATAACACCTTATCACACACAAGCCCAAATGTGGGCAGAAGCCACAAAGGGTCTCGTTGTGCAAACCTTAAAGACACCGTATACGCTTGAGCTGACATTGACTAAGAAGTGCAGAATCTAATATTTTTGCCTCCCAGATACAATGCCACCATATCAACTATAGTTGTTCAGCCCTCATGTCAATGACAAAGTAGTCTTTGGTGGTGGTCACGTGAGCAAGATAACACCGGGGGGGGGGAGTGAGGCTATTTGCTCCGGAGTAATTTGACCCGCGGTTGTGTGATCACACAGTCCCTGGGAGCTGTGGGGGCAGCCCGCCACCACATGATCAGACACAAACCACGGGTGAATCGGGGGGGAGGGGGGTTGCCGTGTGTTTCCGGTGCACTTCAACAGGGGATCGATGATCCGCATCTCTGTACTGAGTGCTCCCTATGCAGTGTGTGATGATGTGCATACTGAAACAGGGGAAAAAACAACGGCATGGAGTCGGGATGGCCCGATCAGACCATCCGGATGCCACGGGAGCACGCTGGCACAATCACACAGGGAAAGTCCGTTCCTGGCTCGTAGCAAACCCATTTGCTACCGGACTTTCCCTAGTGTTTTTTTATTCCGCTTCTGGGGTGGAGCAAAATGGGTTGCCCACGGGTGCGGGACGCTTCCCAGATGTTTGCGTCTGATCGCGCCCTTAAAATCCACCCAGCATTCGTGCCTATGGCGCAGCTAATTCTGCGTGTGATCACAGCCTTTCTAGAAGAAACGAAATCAACCAAAAAGAGGATGGCTGTTTCTTGTCCTTTACTCTCAACAGAAGCCTGCTTTCTTGTGGCTGACAAACCAAGCAGTATGCAAACGACATCAGATATCCTGCTTGTCATTCCTCCTCAGGATTGAATTGGGGCAGGGAAGAGAGAAAGAAAACAGGTAAGAGTCTGCTTTCATCTCAGCACATTATGAACTAACCCCGTTAGCCCCTCACAAATTAGGAAAACCCATACAGGCTCTGTAAATATATCTTGGCCCATTGAGCTATCCTGTACAATTCAAATCCAGGCTTACACCTGCAACTCATTCAGAGGAAGGGGTACAAATTAACAAAGTTGTAATCTGTATGCCCCAAAAGTCCTAAATGTTGTGTTACTGAAAGGTCTTAAAGAGGTATTCAGGGTAAAGCAGTGATTTAGCCTGTAGTATAGCAGTCATGTATGCTTAACAGAGTTGTAATCTGTATGTCCCAAAAGTCCTAAATGTTGTGTTACTGGAAGGTCTTGAAGAGGTATTCAGTGCAAAGCAGTGATTTAGCCTGTAGTATAGCAGTCATGTATGCTTACTGGCTATCTGTTAATACCAAAGAGCTTTGAGGTACTCAAAACAGCGCTTGAAGAAACAGCTCCTGAAATTCAACACTTTTGGAATGTCACACGGAGCTCTTTTAATAATCACAGTCTCCCTTTCCTGCTCAGAACACGGGTCACCCCCCTGAGGCAACACACTAAAGAAAAACCACGCAAGCCTGGGTTTGCTACAGAACATACCCTGGATGGAAAGCCAAGATTGGCTGCAGTTCCCTTTCTACTGTTCTTGTGAAATAAGTGCATTTGCAAACAAAACGTGTTTGTTGCATCGGTTATTGGAAAGACTGAATGAAGAGTCTCATCCTTAAACAGAAGGCTCTTTTGCCAGAGACTGCCAGTGAATTCCCTGCAGCACCCAGGCCACAGGACATAAGGAGAAAAGGAAAACAACACCAAATATATTACAGGATTGGATTAATGTGGACTTGCCTGATACTCCACCATTGTATGCTCTTCCAGTTCTTCTGGGCCATTTTCAGAATTGTCCAGCCTTTCCCATTCATTACTGCCTAGAAAATGTTTTCACGGGTTATTAAGGTAAGAAACAGAGCCATAAGATCACCTTATCTGTCTCCCATTAACATGGTTCTCCTACGCTAAACTCCAGTAGCATCCTACAAAGCTGAATCACAAACCTGGAATTCAACCTAATGTATCTAAATCAATTTAAAATTTACCTGCATAGAAGTATGACTTCCCCTTCTCCCCCCTCCCTCCTGCTGCTTCCCCCCTCCTGGGAAATGGAGGTCCCACAACACC